TCCCCAGCCTCCAATGATGTCAGGTAACTGGCGTGTGCGGACGACCCCATTCGTGTGAAGCTCCACCACATCTGTGGTGTACATTTAACCCTGTCAGGATCATTGGTGGGTTGCCCATCCCTTCCAAAAAGTACCTCCAACAGTGTCATTTCCCTCAGGCTTAGGATCCCCTCCTCCATGGTTTTCCAGTTCTTTGCATAATGGTCTATCTGCAAGGAATCTCTGTAAATTAACCTCTCCCTCACACCCCCCAGAAGCTGTGCCCAGAGTGACAGAGGTTTTGATTCTCTCACAAATGCCTCCTTGGTACCCACATCCTGGGCAATAGACCTCAAGAACCTTGCTTCATGACCGTCAAGGTTAATGGCATCACCCGTGAAGTCCCAACCTATTATCATCCAGGTCAATATGGACTTATTCAGATGATGAATAAGGTCCACCCATAAGCTCCGGAGGTTGTTATACAATAAGGACTCAGTGATGATTTCTGGCTCTGGGCTTGCTGCCTGTGAGGGTCCTGCCTCCCCATTATCATCAACTGGGTGGGTCAATTTGGTCTTATATTTCCTCTTTTGTATAGGGGCAACTTCCATTGGTTTGCTCTGTGCCTTGGAATTGGCCTTATCCTGAGTCACCCTGGTAACCGGCATCTTGTTTTTGTCTTTTCCTTTTCCCTGGAAGGGCTGCACTGCACCATACTGAGTAGTTTTCTGTAGGCAATGGCCAAAATCCCACATGCAGCTGCCAGTTACCTCTCTATGGGTCTACCCCAACCTCTCTCCCTCATGGCTGTCATTATCTTTGTAGGGTTTAGGAGTTGTTCGAGAGTGAGCTTCCATGTTGTAGGAGCTGAACAACTTTCTAGGAATTTTCCCATATTCTCCCATAACCCATGCCATTTAAGGTTTTCCACCCCTGGGGCAGGCTTCGTATATTAAATATAACACTGTGGCACAACCTTGCACGAAAAGCCCCAAAAGTAAAACGTCTCTGACATCTAAGGAGAATTTAAATTTCCCAGAGGCCATTGTATTGGATCCAAAGGGAAAATAGTTGAAGGGTTGAGCAAATATACCCCCCTGTGTTTCTCCATAGGAATGGGTGCCATTATCCTTAAACCCCCAGAGGAGACAGCTTAGACTAGAGGTGTAGTGTATCCTTGAGGACATATCCGACAAAAAATCACAGGTGTTGAGTTTGCTATGTCATAAACCAAATGCAAAACCTCAGAGGTTTTGCAATGAGGGTCGTAGTATCTGAGCTGAAATACATCAACAGTTGGGACAGTTATCTTGGCATGGTTACATGCCAGAGGAAAGCAACCACCCCAAACCTCATGGTGCCTACAGGTTCAAAAACACATATAAATCACTCAAGGGCAGTTATTCCTTTTCCACTTTTTCTCTCTTGGGTCCCACTTTGGGCACCAAAAATGTCTCAGTTTAATGAGACACTAGTGTTTTGCTGAGGATGAGTTATGAGGAAGACCCAAACTCCTCCCTCTAGGCAATTGTAAATCTGGAATTAAGAGGCTCCAATTGAGAAAAAATGTGGAAAATGGAAGAATAGCAACCCTTTATTAACAGATATATGTGTATTGGCAGAAACAACAAAAAGAACCCCACACAAGTAAAACAACCAAACAATAATCCTATACCCAAAAATAATCCCCTTCAAAACAGACAAATAAACAAAAAAAGGTAAACAGCTCACTTTGCAGCCTTTGGTGCAATTCTAACCACAGTCAGCAGGGGACGCTGTTGGATCACTGGTGATGGCCACCTGGGGTGGACCCCTCCCTCCCCCAAGATATGTTCGAGAAGCTGAAAATGGAGGTTTTCCCTCCCTCCCTTACTTGGTAAGGGGAGAGAGAGGAGGGAGAGGAAAAAAAAGGTCCTTCCCAACAGGAACTCACTCTGTCCTGCTGACTGAATTGTGTGGTATAGTTTTCCCTCTCCTTTTGATGTGTACAAGAACTGCTGCCAAGAAAGAAAAACGGGAAAACCTCCTGAAACTGTTCCTCTCAGATGAAAATCCAAGTAGAATTCACAGCTGGCAGCTAATCTGAGAACAAAAGCACCTCCGAGCTGCTGCCACCGGGACCTCTTCCCAGCTCAGGCAGTAGCGAACTCCTCCCCCATTTCCCAGGAGACAAGATCTTGAGGGCCATCAGCTCGGAATGTGGTTTTGCCAGCCACTTCTTTTGTGTTAGTTAATGGCCCAAACCACAGCCAACCTGCCTATTCAACATCCCTTTCACACTGTGGGCAGGGGGAAGGGAAAAATTCCATCTTAGTTTCCCAGAACAAACAAAATGATTACAAGGCACTATTGCACCAAGGGAAACTCTGTGATTACCATCCATAAACGAATCCATTGACTGGAGAGCCAAGGACTGATCAGCAGGACCCAGTCATGCTTTCAATAGTCCTATATGGCCAGTGTGAAAGTCTAATCTAGAATAGAGACTAACAATAAATTATCATAGCCTGAATGAAATTACACTGAATGCTGCCTACTGGACATACTGGAATTACAGTATGAACTGGAGTCAAAGGCAGTCAAGTGGTGCCACAATTGATATTGCTAATGTGTTTTTCTCAATCCCTCTGGCAACAGAGTGTGGACCACAGTTTGCTTTTACTTGGAGGGGCATCCAGTACACCTGGAAGGGACTGCTCCAGGGGTGGAAACACAGCCCTACCATCTGTCATGGACTGATCCAGACTCCACTGCAAAAGAGTAAAGCTCTGGAACACCTGCAATACATAGATGACATTACTGTGTGGGGAATTACAGCAGAAGGTTTTGAGAAAGGGAAGAAAATAGTCTAAATCCTTCTGAAAGCTGGTTTTGCCATAAAACAAAGTAAGGTCAAGGGACCTGCACAGGGGATACAGTTTTTAGGAATAAAATGACAAGATGGATTTTGTCAGATCCCAGTGGATGTGATTAACAAGATGACATCAATGTCTCCACCAACTAACAAGAAAGAACCACAAGCTTTTTCAGGCACTGTGTGTGGGAAACAGCCTAACTGCAGGCAGCTTGGGCTGGGAAAATGAGTGGTGAAGTTGTAAAAGTATGTAAACTACCAGAGTGACTAAGCAAAAAAGGAACAAAATTGCAGTAAATACCAGGTGTTGTTTTGAGATGTGCTAAGTATGTGGACTGGTGCTGACCATGTATGAGAAGATGAGCTGGAATATGTGAACTGAGGCATACAGTCAATGAAGGATAACCTGTACGTCTGGACAGAGGAAAAGACTATAAAAGATGTATGATTGTTGATAATAAAGGATCGGTTCGTGCCTGCTAACCTTCCTGTGTGTGCATCTTTTTGGCTGCTGCAACTGTGGGCTTTTAAAGAATGCACATTCCAAATTACACTCTGTAAACCATCTATCAAGTGACCCAGAAGAAGAATGATTTCACATGGGGCCCTGAGCAACGACAAGCCTTTGAACAAATCAAACAGGAGATAGTTCATGCAGTAGCCCTCGGGTGAGTCCAGACAGGACAAGATGTAAAAAATGTGCTCTACACTGCAGCTGGGGAGAATGGCCCTACCAGGAGCCTCTGGCAGAAAGCACTGGGGGAGTCTCAAGGTTGACCCCTAGGCTTTTGGAGTTAGGGATACAGAGGATCTGAAGCCCTCTGTACTCCAACTGAAAAGGAGATAATGGAAGCTTATGAAGGGGTTTGGTCTGCTTCAGAAGAGATTGGTACTGAAGCACAGCTCCTCCTGGCAATCCAGTTACCTGTGCTGCCCTGGAAGTTCAAAGGGAGGGTGTTATCTACACATCATGCAACTGATGCTACATGGAGTAAGTGGGTTACATTGATCACACGACAAGCTTCAATAGGAAACCCCAGTTATCCAGGAATCTTGTAAGTGATCATGGATTCTCCAGAAGGCAGACATTTTAAAATGTCACCAGAGGAGAAAGTGACATGTGCTAAAGAGGCCCCACTATATAATAAATTACCAGAAAGTGAGAAGCAATATGCCTTCTTTACTGGTGGATCCTTCCATCTTGTAGTAAAGCATCAGAGATGGAAGGTGGCTGTATGGAGTCTTCTACAAGTCACAGAAACTGCTGAAGAAGGTGAAACAAGTCAGTTTGCAGAGGTGAAGGCCATCCAGTTGGCTTTAGACATTGTTGAATGAGAGAAATGGCAGATACTTTATACTGACTAATGTATGGTGGTAAATGCCCTGGGGGGTGGTTGCAGCAATGGAACCAGAATAATGGGTAGCATGGATGCAAATCCATCTGGGCTGCTGTGTTGTGGCAAGACATTGCTGCCCAGGGGGAGAACCTGGTTGTGAAGGTACATCATGTAGATGCCCATGTACCCAAGAGTCAGCCCACTGAAGAGCATCAGGACAACCAACAGGTGGATCAGGCTGGTAAGATTGAAGTGGCTCAGGTGGATTTGGATTGGCAACATATGGATGAATTATTTCTAGCTCTGTGGGCCCATGACACCTTGGGCTATATATTGGTTTTGGCTGAGCTGGAGTTCATTTCCCCATAGTAGACCTCACAGTGCTCTCTACTTTGCATTGGTAGCTAGAAGGGTGTTGAGAACACACCAGTGTTTTGGTTACTGCTGAGCACAGCATCAACACTGTAACATTCCTCCCCCAAATGAGAGCAGGATCCTGGGAGGGGATACAACCAGGCCCGCTGATCCAAACTAACCAAAGGGATATTCCGAACCATATGATGTCATCTCAGATATAAAAGCTAAGGAAAGGAGCAGGAAGGGGAGACATTCATTGTTTATAATGGTTGCCTGCTGAGAAACCGCTATGTGTGCTGAAGCCCTGCTTCCCAGGAAGTAACCAAACACCGCTTGCTAATGGGAAGTAGAGAATAAACCTTGTTATTTTCCTCTTCACTTGTGTGTGTGTAAACTTTCACTTTTGCTTTAGTAAACTGCGTTATCTCAACCTACTAGTCATTTTCCATCTTATTCTCTCTCCCCTGTCCAGCTGGGAAGGGGAGGGATAGAATGGCTTGGTGGACACCTGGCATCCAGCCAGGGTCAACCCACTACAACCATCAAGGCAGAGATGCAACATATAGGTGGGCTTGTGGTTGAGGGGTGGACTTAACCATGGACACTATCACATAGGCTATCCATCAATGAGAAACATGCTGCAATTAAGCAGGGCAGGAGGTTAAAGCCTCTCTGGTATGGAGAATGATGGATGAAATATAAATATGCGGAGGCCTGGCAGATTGACTATATCAAAATCCCACAAACCTGCTAAGGCAAGCACCATGTTCTTACAATGGTGAAAGCAACCACTGGATGGCTGGAAACATACCCTATGCCCCATGCCACCACCTGGAACACTATCCTGGGCCTTGAAAAGCAAACCTTACAGCAACATGATACTCCAGAAAGAATCAGACAAGGGCACTCATTTCCAAAACAATCTCATAGACACTTGGGCCAGAGACCATGGCATTGAGTGGGTATTTCACATTCCCTATCATGGATCATGATATCCAGAAAGACTGAACAATGCAACAGACTATTAAAGACTTTACTGAGAGCAATGAGTGGTGGAACCTTCAAACATTGGGATACACATATAGCAAAGGCCACCTGGTTAGTCAACACTAGGACATCTGTCAGTCAGGTTGGCCCGGCCCAATCAAAACTTTTAGGTAGTGTAGAAGGGGACAGTGAATCCAAGAAATCCAGTAAAATGACTGCCCAGAAGTTTTTGGTCTTTTGAGCAGCAAAGGTATTTATTTGTCGACGTCAGGAACAAGTGAGGTAATCACCACAAAGCACTTGTTCAAAGGTATTGGTGTAAAACGGTAATTTATACAGTCTATCTGGTGTCTGTCATGGTTTTGTTCTGGGTCAATTTGCTTTCACACCCCCCACACAATTACTATTATTTGAGAGAAGGTTTATGCAGACAAAAGAGACTGGATTTAGGGAAAATAGTATGAACATTTATTACTAGTAATATAAAAACTATTAAAGAACTATATAATAATTCTACTTAAGTAAAAGTATTATGTATTTACAGAAATACTTCTCTCCCCTTTATATCAGTCCAAGGAGGAAAAGCAGTCCTTTTCTCCATTCTTGGAGTTCCAACTCTCTCTCCAGTAACTGTGCAGCACTCTCGTTGCAGCTGGAACTCTTTTTCCTTCTCTGTGTCCGCCTCCAGGGCTGGGCCTATCCTCCTCCTGGGCTAAGACCGGAGGTTGGGGGGTTACCTAGGTCTTGAAGGTCTTTTCTTCCATGGACTTGCAAGGGGACACTTGCCTACCATGGATCTTCTTCCATGGGGTTACAGGGAATAATGGCCCCCTTAGGGTCACAAAGTCTTCAACAGGACTCTGCCTCACCTCAGGTCTCTTATGAAGTCTCGGCTTCTTCATGCATCAACTTACTCCAGTGTAGGCTCTTCCACGAGCAGCACGGGGGGTCTCCTCACCCCAACAAACTTCCATAGGTGGCAGGGATTTATTTTTCAGTCTTTACCCTGCTGAAGGGAGAGAGCGAAAGGGGGAAGAAGCAAGCCCCCCCCTTCGCACTTCTCTCTCCTGTTGCAGCTTCAGCTGCCAGCTTTGACCTTGGACACTTTGTTATCTCTTTGCTGGAATTCTTCTACAGCGTTTCTCGTCTAAGCAGTCAGTCTTTTAAACTTTTTTTTCCTTCACTCTCTTACAAGAGAGAAGGGAAGCTTCAGTGCCACACCTGCCCTCCAGCCCAAACCGGGGGAGGAGAAGGCTTGGCCCCCCACCTGGGGCTTGACACCACTCCCTACATGGTTGCCTAATTTCAACTGCGTAACCCACCTTTTCTTCCATTTTCTTATATATGTAATTAGCAAAGGCATTACTGAGAGTTTTAATTGGTTTCTTGTCTGGAAATCCATCTGGACACAACCATTCTCAGCCCCAGGGGCTGACCGGCTGGGCAAAACCACGACACTTCTATGATTACAACATCTTACATACATATTCATATGATTGCAACATCTAATCATACATATTGATAATAGGTGGAGTAACGGCAGAGCTCAGGCAGAGCTTGGGGTGGAGCTTTTCTTGGCCCTCAATTCTGGAGGTACATCCACCTTTCTTCATCATTGAGGCTGGGGTCTCTGTAGTCTTCCTCAGTTTGACCTCTCTAACTTTCCATTGTCTTTGCCCCAGTCACTGAAGCTTGGAGAAAGCCTTGGCTTTAGGCCTATTTCTCCTATTCAAATGTCTACCTTGGCTTACTTTGCCTTAATTTATGGCCTACAGACCCATTGTATAATGTTTCTAGCCTTCTTTTAAAGATTAGGTCCAAGGAACGGGACAGAACAAATTTTTATTTAGCAATTTAGGCAGAGCAGGTATGGAGGGGAGAATTTTCTCAGAGCAAGATACCTTGGTTAACTCTCTTTAGGCCCTGCTCTCATTTCAATAGAGTTCCTGTTGTGCATATTAAAAACACACTGGGGAAAACAGTCTGAGTTATTCCTGCTTCAGGCAAAGGTAAACCCATCCATGGGATTGCTCTTGCTCAAGGACCCGGTGCACTTGGTGGGTAATGCAGCAGGATAGGGAAGTCCAGTGTGTGCCTCAAGGGGATTTGATTTTGCATGAGAATAGCCAATGAATTAAACTATATGTTATTAATAACTATATTAGGTAGGGATAACTATATATGGTATCTATATATGGTAACTATATATGGTGGGGAGCATAGCCAGGACAGCTGACCCAAACTGGCCAAAGGGATATTCCACACCATAGAACATCATGCCCAGTATATAAACTGTGGAAGTTACCTGGAAGGAGGAGCAGATTGTCATTTGGGGACACTTTGGCTTCAGTCAGCAGGTAGTGAGCAATTGCATTGTACATCACATGTTTTTCTTGTGTTTTCTCTGTCTCTTTTCCTTATTACTATTATTTTTATAATTATATTTTACTTTGTTTCAATATTCAACTGTTCTTATCTCAACCCACAAGTTTTACTTTTGATTCTCCTCCCCATTCCACCGGGAGAGGGCATTTAAACCATGATAAGTATATTCAGTTCCTCAGGTGGTCTTAAACCTGATCTTCTCTTACAGTTGGAGGGACTTTGCTCCTCCAGTGTGGAGAAATGGATAGGGTTAAAAGTTAAAGGAGAATAAGAATTGCAGAGGAGACCCAGCTGCTGCTTCTCGGAACACAGTCATGATGCCCCACAAAGGTTCTCCAAACACTCATAAGCACCTGTATGGAGGATGCACCGGAGAGGACGGTGATGTGAAGGCACTGTGGCCTCCCTCCACAAACATCCTTCAGGAAGGGGAACATGGTGACATTTTAACCATGTCATATCCTTCCAACAAGAGAGATGCTAAGGACAACTACCAATCAAGCACTTATGACTGAATTCACTCATACTCCACATAAACCTAAAGAAATAGTATAAAAGGAAATTGGAAATAGGGTGAGACTGGACGAAGATTTCCACCAAAACTGCTGGGTTCAACTGACGGTCTGAACCTGTCTTGTCTCCCCCCTTAGGTGTAGAAAAAAGGCTCACACAGGGCACCAGTTGTGGTGAAGGTCCCTCACTCTGCACTGTTTGTGGCGAATGAATCCACGGGAGACAGACTTTGTCCAGGAAGAACTCTCTTGTAACTTTATTACTCCATTTCTATATACAGACTCTCTACCGACCCCAGGTCTGAGCTCTCCAGCCAGCAAGATGTTTCCTTATCTCCCCACATACCACACACACCCATGTGACTGCTTCCAGCCACAGAGAACAGCCATGCTTCAAGCGGCTTTCCAGCTTGACCTTGTGATTCTTTTCCCACACACACTAATCTTAGCTCTGGTTGGCTCAGGACCACAATATTTTTGCTTTAGTATTTTCTTCTTCTTCTTTTATCATCCAGGTGGCTGGTGTTGTCCGTCCAGCCACTCCTACACTTAGGGATGTCTATTGGGTAAGAAACTTATTCTATGCACACTGACTGTTGCTTTTGTATTTTGCTCCAATATATAGAAGATTGTTTTGTATTAGAGTCTGTGCTTGTGCTTGCTTTATAGTATTATTAGATTGCTTTAAATATGTATTTGCAGTTAGATCCTATCACCGATGACCATGAACCTTATTAACTTGTCACAATTTCTATTAATATTGTTATTCCATAAGCTGAGTGAGTCATTTATAAGGTGCTGACATTGTAACACATAGATAATATAGAAATGCCCAAAAAGTATGTTTCACTATTGTTTCTGCCTGTCAAAAACTTCCTATCAAAAATTCTCTGTCAGCTTTCTGCCAGAAGTTCTCACCAGAACTTCCTGCTGAATTTTACTGCCAAAAAATCCTGCTATTGTTTATGGTTATCATATCTCTTTGAATATCTTAATAGGGCTACATGCCAAGAAACCATGTACAACCTCCTTTGAACACTATAAAAGTTGAGGACAAATTGTGGAAAATCAGGGAGAGGGAACTGGTTACTGTAACCAAGAATCTCTCCCCACCTCCCCTCACCTTTTCTCCACCACTGCATGCTACCTACCTGCCACGTGAGACTGAGACTCTGTTGACCTGGAGAGAACTGAGACCCACCATGCCATATGCATGTTATACCT